AGGAAAGGAAGACAGAGAAAAGAAAGAAGGAAGGAAGAAAGAAGGAAAGAAGGAAGAAGAGAGGAAAGGAGTGAGGGGAGGCGGAAGGAAGGAAAGCAAAGCAAAGCAAAGGAAAGGAAGGATATCATGTGGTCGCAAGGGGCATCAGGACTTTGAATCTGGATCATAAGTAGCCTGAGGAAGCAGGTTATAACTTTGAACAGTCACTTAGGAATCGGTCGTAAGTCAAGGACTGGCTGCAATAACTGCATGCAATTTTTTCTCTCTCTCTTCTCCAGTGAATCACGGAAAGGTCCGGGCTTGAATTGAACTCCACAGATCTTTAAAGATCTAACCCCACACCCCAAAGACCGCACAACTTGAGAGGTCTGTGCACCACTAACTTCCATCCGTGGTTGTAGGCTCAAGGACCGCCGTAAGTCGAGGACTAACCCAATTGCCTTTTGGAAAGCGCGGCACGCTCTTTCAGCTGGATAAAAGCGGGATGGAGGTGCATGCTTACCCCTTGTTGTCATAGTGTATCCTCGTGACGGTCCAGGCCAAGATGAACAGCATCGGCGCACCTGGCAACAGAGAATGGAGGACTTGTCGCTTTTTGTAACGGCACACCCTCAAAACGGGGCATAAGACAGAACGATACAGAACGGGCACCATCGGGTGTGCCGAATTAGCACCAGGAGATTGTTTTGCTTGCTGCACACCAGCTTGAATTATTATTATTAAAAGGGAAGGCGAGCTCCTTAGGACATTGCCCAGGGATATTAAATAGTGAGAAAGGAGGCATATCAATTTAATAAAATAAGTGGAAAAAGGAAAGGAAAGGGGGGGAAGGGAAAGGAAAGAGAAGGAAGGAAAGAAAAGAAGAGGGGAAGGGAAGGAAAGGAAAAAAAAGAAGAGAAGAGGAGGGAAAGGGGAGGGAAAGGAAAGAAGAAAAAGAAAGAAAGAAGGAAGAAAGAAAGAAAAGAGGAGGAGGGGGGGAAATGGAGGGAAAGGAAAAGAAATAAGGAAAGAAAGAAAGAAGAAAAGAGGAGGAGGAAGGAAGGAGAGGAGGAGAGAAGGATCTTCATTACATACTTACAGGTAGTCCTCAACTTGTGATGGTTCATTTAGTGACCATTTGAAGTTACAACAACACTAAAAACAGTGACTTATGACTGGCTGATCTAGGATCCTGGCGGGGTTTAAGGTTTTTTTTTAATTACTGCTCGATTTTAATGCAAAGTGGCTCTGATTAAATTTGAGTTTCCAGATTAACAACGGTTGGCCAGAAAGATTGTTAAATGGGGCAAAACTCACTTAATCAACTGCCTCGCTTAGGAATGGAAATTTTGGTCTAAGTTGTGATCATAAGTTGAGGACTAGCTGTACTGAGATGAATTCAGACATAATTCAATGCTCCTGTTTATTAAAAGGGAAAACTGCCCTGACTAATTTTGGGGAATGAAAAGTGCCATTCGCAAACTTGAATTACAGCAGGATCACGATTCTAACTTTGCGGCTTCCTCGTAAAAGTGTTAACGTATAATGAGGACACAGTCTCCAAGCTCAGCTTTCTCCTTCCTGGAGACCACGGCTCCTTCATCACTGGTCAAGCATTGGTCAGTTGTGTTAGGAATGGGAAAAAAATGTCTAAATCTAACAGCAGCCATTTAAATAAACGAAAGATTATCATAATAAACAAAGCCAGGCTGGTTTAGTGGTTAAGGCATCGGGCTACAAACCGGGAGACCGTGAGTTATAGTCCTGCCTTAGTCATGAAAACATCTGGGCAACTTTGAGCCAATCACCAGGAGGCGGTGAGTTCTAGTCCCGCTTTAGGCATGAAAACCACTTGGGTGGCTTTGGGCCAATCGCCAGGAGACTGTGAATTCTAGTATCACCTTCGGTGTGAAAGCTAGATGGGTGACTTTGGGCCAATCATCCGGAAACTGTGAGTTCTAGTCCTGCTTTATGCATGAAAGTCAGCTGCGTGACTTTGGGCCAATCGCCAGGAGACGGTGAGTTCTAGCAACACCTTAGGCACAAAAGCCAGCTCTAGGACAATCAAATCCAGACCAATCATTGTTCTAGTAGTTAAGACTTGAAGGCTAGAAACCAGGAGACAGGGAGTTCTAGTCCTACCTTAGCCATGAAAGCCGACTGGGTGATTTTGGACCAAACACAAGGAGACAGCAAGTTCTACCCCTGACTTAGGCACAAAAGCCAGCTGGGTAATTTTGGGCCAGTCCCTCCCTCCCAGCCCCATCTACCTCACAGGGTTGTTGTCGTTATGGGAAAAACTGGAAGGAGAAAGGGGTCTTAATGCACGTTCGCCGCCTTGAGCTATTCGTAAAAATATTAAAGTCAAATAAACTAACAGCAATGCATGGAAGGCATCTGGGTAGGGAAACAAAAATGACTGACCCCAGCCTATGACAATGTACCACCAGAAGTATTTCTTCTCCGAAAAGAAGGAGATGACCAGGAGGGTGTGAAGGTACAAGCCCTCAACCAGAAGCCAGAAGAAATTAGCCATGATGCAGTACTGGAAAAACACCATTGCAGCTTTGCAACCCACCTGGAAAACGGGAAACAAACCAATTTGGATTAAGGATTCAAGTTGCAAAGGTGAGTTTGCTATTTGTTTGTTGTCTAGACACACTTTCCCAACAATGCATGGGGCTCCAAAACAACCCTTTGATGGGAGACACATTTTCTCTGTTGGCTCCTACACCGTCCTCGACTTATGACAGTTTATTTAGTGGCTGTTTGCAGTTACAACGGCACGAAGAAAAGTGATTTTAGGACTGTTTTTCATGTTTATGACTGCTGCAGCATCCCCATGGCACCTGATCAAATTTCATATGCTTGGCTGGACTAATAGCCATTCCTTTAGTGGCCGTTTGAAGTCAGAGAGGCACCCAATAAAGTGAAGGCACCAAAGGCAGCTGGGTGGCTTTGGGCCAGTCACTAGGAGAGAGAGAGTTCTAGTACCACTTAACT